AGGTATAGGTGGTTGGCGATTCTGTTCTGATCACTAGATGGTGCCAGCACCATCTTCTAGTAACCTTTCAGAACTGTGTTGCCCCCAAGGTCTCTGAGAAAAAGGGGGCAGAAGGGGAATGTCACAACAAAGGGGCTTGCACGCTGCAGCTCTGTGCCTGCCCCCATGTACTGTCTGCCCACCTGGCACCTTCTGGAATCCTCAAATGTGTCAGGATTCTCCCGTGACCTCCAAACTTTTCTCCTTTTCTTTTGCTGGGTCAGGTGAGCCTGCTTTATGTGTGGGGAGAGGAGAAGCATTCCTCATCAATGATTCTCCTCCCTTCCCATTGATGAAGTTACAAATGACCAGTCTCTTTGAGAAGCATTAACAAGTTTAGCAAGTTTGTCTTTCCCCTATTTCCTACAATTTCCCCTTTTTTGACAGGTTTGTCTTTATGGCCAGGCCTCTCAGATGAGCATTAACAAGTCCTCCTGCATTTCAAGGAAGAGGGAGTTAAACATTAGCTATTGACAAAAAGTAAGCTGGAGCCCACCTGTCTCTGTGCTGACCTCTCTCCCCTCCCCTTTCCAGATCCTTGTCTATCTCCACTCTTTTCCCCTTTGTATAAATACCCCTGCACTCTGCCAAAGAGCAGGGTGTTTGTCTTTCAGACATGAGTCTGCTGCCTTCCTCATTTGTCCACAAATTAAACCACTTTCCTTTTCCTCAAACTCTGTTTCCTTTCATTGGCTGAGGAAAACTGAGGCTGGCATTCGGTATGACCATGTCACTCTCACTTTCCCTCTGTTGGATCACCAACTTTGTCCATCAGGTCTGGGTCTTACCAGAAACTCATTGTTATTTCTCCCTATCAGTTGTTTTTATGGGAGAATTTAATCCTAGCATCCCTTTGCTGCCATGTTGGTTGATGTCCTTAAATGTGATTTTCAAGATAATTTATGCAAAGAAAAGGACTTACTTTTTAATGTGTTGTGGGTCTGCTAAATGCAGCATACCAAATCCTACAAGACTCCTTTCAAGTTAAACCAGAGGAGGATGCTTGATCTGCTATGGGACAACAGTATAAATCATGAAGTATGACTGGGAATGACCATGAGGGCCTTTGACTGATGTACTTTGCGACCCAGAGACTGACCAGTGGAATGCCTTGATAATAAGATTGGAGCCATGGGTCGGGGGTCAGGATTATGATTTGCCTGATCAGTGGATTTACCCTCCCTAAAGCCCTAAATAACATAATCATATTTCCAGTTTGACTCACCCTTTTTTCTTTGTTCTCCTATCAATAAAAAGGCCAGGATCTTGCTCTTTGAGCAGCATCCTGCATTGTACAGCCTGTCCCACACTCCCATTCCTTTTCTTTGTCAGTGTGGTGTTGCTGATGCCACAATGTGTCATGAAAAATTCGTATCACTGGCTTCATATAGGAGACATATGTGAGTATCTTTACAAAGATTTAGAAAAAATATGTATGATTATTAGATAAATTTTCATTAAAAGGAAATAATGTTCTGGGAATAGTATTTCCAATGATGTTACTACTGTCATTAAGAAAACCACAGAACTCTTCAGAAAGTACTTATTTCTTGATTCCTCAAGTGAACACAGAATAGGGTAGGGGGTTACTCTTCAGGTTAGAAGATGATTGTCATGTTTATAATTAACCCCACTGACCAAGCACACATTCCTATGGATCCTGAGCAGAAAGGATGATTTCTCCTTGCATTTCTGCAAGGATAAAGTCCACAATTTTGTATTCTACCTTGAGACAGCAGACGATATGCCTTGGTAAAAATCTCCCTACTGTAACCCTTACTTATATCGGTGACTATTAATCCAATCATTCATCTACCTGGACACACACTGACCTCAACCTAAGTGCTCCTGCCCCACAGAGGCTCTGTGACATGATTCAGGTAAGTCACCTCAATTCAGAATACTTGTCTAAGTTTCTTTCCTCTCAGGCCTGACTAGCAGTGACTATACTGACTAATATAGTAGGAATATGGGTAGTGCAGAGACTCTAGAAAATGCAAAGAATATTGATTGGGTAAAAAGAAGTACCTGCCTAGAGCCCAAATCAGAACCTTTCAGATGAAGATTTAGCCAATCAGAAAACGGATTCTAAGCCAACAATTTTGTTACTAGATGAAAAGTCTGTGTAAAAAGGTCTGTGCAATGAGGAAATCCCCAGGTCTGACTCAGTCTCTGCTGCACAGCCCCAGAAAAGAGCTGAGGCAATTTTTCCCTTTGGAAAGGTGGGAAAGGATGGGATGGAAATCTTTATTTATTCTGAGAAAAAATAAGGTGGCACCTGAAGGAACTAAGTCACCTTCAAGTTCTCCCTCTTGCCATCCTTTACCCCCAACCTTACTGCAGATCTGAATTTGATGTTCCTTCTTTGTGCTTCCATACTATTGTGGAGACTCTGCTTATTCTGATATTACACTGATCCTGACTACTGCTGGTGGAAGTTTAATTAATGACTAATTTCCCAGTCTCAGGAACTCTGGAATTACGCACTTAATACCGAAGATAGGGAAAACTCACTGTTTTCATATGTCCCTGGAAACTTCTTGAGTTTTCCCCATTTCTTTTTGCTTGTTTGTTTGAGGTTTCAGCATTTTATTCAAGTTTTATTTTAAGTGATGTTAATTACAGCATTTTAAGGGGAAGATATAATTCTACACAAAACAGAAGACTCTAAAATGTACTTGCTAAACTGTTAAAACATTAACTGAGTGATGAGCAGAAAATTGAAGTCCAATTTATTTATTTTTTTTTTTTTTAAGTATTTTTTTTTTTAATAGAGGCATGTTTTTATTTATTTATTTATTTGTTTGTTTGTTTGTTATACATGCACTGGGTACAGTCAGAAGTGCGGGAGGGTGAGAGAATTCACCAGAGCCAGAGCAGGGAGCAGAGCAGGCAGAAGGACCGAAGTACACTGCTGAGGGGAGCAGCGGGCGGCAGGAGAGGTCTGCGCGCCATGTGGGACCCTCCTCCGGTGGCCGGGAGCAGCCGGGGATCGAACCGGTACCGCAGAGGCCACGGGCAGCTTCGCAACCCAGCGCTCAACCGCTGCGCCACCGGGGAGGCCCTGAAGTCCAATTTAGATTCCATGTACTGTCACAGAGATTACAGTCACAGAGATTGTTCCTAGCTTGCAACTGAAACTCTTAGAAGCTATTTCATGCTCTGGTAGAGGTAAACACACACACACACACACACACACACACACACAAGCAACACAACTTGAGAAGGAACTAAGTTTTGAATCATTGCCTTCATCACATCCTTCTTCTCTACCCCAAAATGGCACAAAAGAAACAGCTTCTATACCCTACAGACTATTTTTGGTGTAGGAAATGAGCTAGGTCATGAAGATCTGTCTGAAAATGTCCTAATCAGATGAGTTTGAACACACTATAAATGAGCCTTCTTCAACTGGCATAGGAAACCAATGCTTAATTCTCAGGAAGTTGTAATATGAACTTACATAGTGTCTGCAAATTATCAGCTTTCACTTGCAGTTATTTCTAGATAAAAAAGAAATCTGACATCTCTAGAAGGGCCATGAGGCTCCCCACAAGTCTACACCTAAATGGACATTTTTTTTTTAATTGGGTTTCTTTAACTGATGACTGATGACATGAGCTTAGCATGGTATTTAACAATCTTTGAATCCTGGACAAACAACATTAAAAGGTTCACTAAATTCTGAATGTAATTATGGTGGCTGACAGAGGTGCTCACAGATGGAGCAGCTGAGATGATGCGGCAGTAGCTGGCAGCAAGTCTGAAAGTTGGATGAACAGCACCGTATGCTGGAACAGACAACAATGAAGGCAGCAGCACCAAGAGGTAGTGCTGCACAATCTGATAAACAGCTCTTTGAGGCACCAGGCCTGGGTCCCTTGACAGCATCAAAGCCATAGGCAAGAACAGCTTCCTTCACCTTCCTCACTGCAAACACTCATTCCTTGGCTTCTCTTCATGAAGGTCAGTCACCAAATCTTCTTTCTTTTGTGCCAGGTCAGGTACAGAGTGTGATGAATCTAGTCTGGGGATCAGTGCCTCAGACTCTGGGGATCACTCCCCCACTCCCTTATTTTCCCTTTCAGAGTTCCTGCACCCTAGTTGATATCTCCTGACCAGACCATCCAACCTGGCCACCACCTGAGGAGAGGAATGCCCACATGCAGTGGTCTTTAGCTCTATCAAGGGAAAAATGCCAAGGTTCCTGTTCCCCAGGTGGCCATAAAATGCCAGTCTTGCCCTGCAGTCCACACTGCAAGCCTCTGTTTACATAATGAAGAATCACATGACAATAGGGTTGGTTGTCCTTTTTTTTCTTGCTTGTTTTCTTGTACTACATATTAACACAATATTTCTGACAGTCACACATGACAGGTGAAGAACATGTTGTGATATTAAACAAGTCACGTTACTGCTAAGTCTGTAAATCTGAAGAAATAGATGTACAATCCATGAAATATGATGCACAATTTTATAAAGATAATTAGTGCTACAAATGCAGTCCAAACCATTTCCTTCTAGTAACTCTGCTTTTTCCACAATTTAAGGCTCATCAGTTTCTAAGATAATAGAAGGGAATATCTCTGTAATCATATTTTTCTCTCTTTAAGATATAATCCTCACTCATTATCTCCTACAAAAAAATCCAAGCACAAGAACAACAGGTTTTAGGTAAATATCACTAAGATATATGCTCTTGAATCATTTTTCTCTTTTGGTTATTAAACTCCTAAGGCATCCGATATTCATATCTTCTACAACTGAGAGAAAATATTCACCTCAAGTGTTCATCTAGTGTAATTTGATGAAGACACACTGCCAGGCATTGGAATGAGAACCTTCATAACCAATGCCTGCCTAGAGACAGATGAAGTACTTCAGCTCTAGTGCTGATTGGTTCATTTCCTAGAAATGCTCCAATCCTACCATGCAGGGAAGCTTTCACAAGTTTTTATAATCTGAAATGAGTACATTTTCTATTAGGTGTGAGCTGTATTGACCACCATCACGTCTTCCTTTGATCTCAAATATGGCTCTGCAGATCCCCAGAGGCCTTTGGACAGCAGCTGCGGTGGTGATGCTGGTGGTACTGAGAAGCCCAGTGACTGAGGGCAGAGAGTCTCCACGTAAGTGCACGGTGGCTGCTCCCTAGAGCCACCACTCTGGGAAACAGGTTTTGAGGGACCCTCTGGCTGGGGTGTTTGTGTGGTTCTAGTGTCTCAGAAAATAGTCTCTTAACACACAGTCCCTCCTTTTGGGAAAGGGAGCTATGTTACATTCTCATTTCCACTTTCCAATGAAAAGGTGAGGACAATCACCACTCTATGGGCTGAAGTCTGGGGACATTATAATGAGGAGAAGACAAAGAATGTATCTATCAGCAGTGCCAGGACAAGTGAGCACAGGAGTTATTTTTGACAATATGAATTTCTCAAAAGAAGACACAGCAGGATTTGTCATTTCATGGCCCCACAAGACTTTGTACGGTGTACTATGGGATTCTGGCTTGGGGAAATACAGGGCAGCAGTGGTCTCTGTAGTCTCAGTATTTGAGGAAAAGCAGCCTACATTTCTCTCTCCAAGTAGAGGACCCATGTAGGCAAACTTATTTGAGTGAAGCTGACTGGGTAATTACAAACAGGGAGTCTTAATTTCAAGTGTCACTGATTTATGGTTAAAGAGTGACTTGAATGGAATGCAGAGATTTGTATTGACGATGGACTGAATTTAGGAGACTAGAGTCACCTAAATATAAGAAGGGAAATAATATATACTGAGAAACCATTTATTTCAGACACAAGATTAGTAACTTTATATAAATTCTCTTAAACTTCCAAAAAGCCCTATGTGTAGGTGTGACTTCCTTTTACACAATTACATTTATGATAAAGATGCTGTGTTAAATAACCCCATCAAGCTGGTAACTGGCATAATTTTATTGGGATCTAATTTATCTAAATAGGAAGCCAAGGCTCTTTCCATAATAAGACTCAGGAGGTGCCTTGTCCTTATCACACAGGAGAGTTCTTTCCACTAATTATTTAGTTTATTCAGAAACTTCAGAGTAAACCCAAACATGAGAAGAAAGGCCTGCTTGTTAGGAGATGACATATTAAATTATAAGCTTTTTTCCTCATTCCCTTAAACACTTGTGCTTATAGAGATATTTTGTTTGTCTCTAAGTTCCCAGAAGTTCATGTGAGAAGGTCCTGATCCTTCTCAGCACAACCATCACTGTAAAATCTTGTAAAATCAACCCAGCTGTTGACTTTATGGAGTTTTCCGTCCGGGGCGTGCCCCTAGAGATAAGGTTCTATTCTTTTCTAAAGGAATTCTGGAAGTTCTCAGAGGCAGGGCAGGCAGGCCTTGGGGTGAGCCCCTGGAGGACCCCGGGTTTGGAGCAGGAGTGCTGGGCAGGGTTCCACCGGAGTCCATGGTAGTGGCCGGTTTCAGGTTTTATCCTACCCAGTTGGTGGAGACCCGGAATGCTGGGCCCCAGGGGCACAGGGACTGTTGCTTTTGGTTGTCCAGTAGAGGCCTGATTGACCTACGGGCGGTATTCATGCCCTTCCCCGCCCCCATCCATTCACCCTCTTCCTTATTCCTCCCTCCCCCAACCCCCAGAGGATTTCGTGACCCAGTTCAAGGGCCTGTGCTACTTCACCAACGGGACGCAGCGGGTGCGGAGTGTGGACAGCTACATCTACAACCAGGAGGAGTTCGCGCGCTTCGACAGCAACGTGGGGAGTTCCGCGCCGTCACCGCGCTGGGGCGGCCGGACGCCAAGTACTGGAACGGACAGAAGGACATCCTGGAGCGGAAGCGGGCCGAGGTGGACACGGTGTGCAGACACAACTACCAGTCGGAGTTACGCACGACCTTGCAGCGGCTAGGTGAGAGCAGGGTCCACCCGCGGCCAGGCCAGTCTCCCTCCCCAGGGAGGGGTGTGGGAGCCAGACGGACCGCGAGGGCTGTGAGGGCGGCTTCGGGACAGGCGCCTGAGCCCCGGGAGCGGGCAGGGAGGGGTGTGGCTAGTGGTGGCTGAGGGCGGGGACCCAAAGAGAGCCGCAGAGCTGACAGCCTCAGCCCCGGTACCGCGGCGGCTTGCGGGCGCGGCCCCCCTCCCTCCGCTAGTCTCTGGCGTTCATTCCACTGCTTCCGCGCACTCCTGCCTTGAGGCTTACGGTGTTTGAATTCTCTTCTCTCACTTTTGCCTGTGCAGAGCCCTGTGCCAGGAGCGCCCTCTCTATCCTACTGCCTGCCTGTCCTGCTGTGGGGTAGCCTGGCGAGGCTCCTCTCAGAGCTCGAGCCCCTGCAGAGCTGACAGGCTGGGCTTGGACCAAGGCTGCTCCACGCGGCAAGATATTAGTGTCAAGACATGTTATGGTTTCACTTTTGTTTTGTTATTATTCGTTGTAATTCCCTCCTTCCCTTCCTGGCCCCTCCTTTCCTTCTTCCCTCCCCTTCTCTCTCCTCCCCTTCTCTCCTCCCGCTCACCCTCCCTCCCTTCCTCCCTCCTTACCCCTCTCCCTCCCTCCCCTTCTCCCTCCTCCATTCCTTCCTACTAGAACCGGGGTACAGGCCAGAGGTATGAGAGTAAGAGGATTCACCAGAGACAGAGTGGGGAACAGAACAGGCAGACTAACCGAAGCAAACTGCTGAGGGGAGCAGCAGGCAAGACAGGAGAGGTCTGCTGCGCCATGTGGGTGGCTCCCTGGCCTGGGATGGAACTCAAGCCACGTAGATGGGCTGTTGTGGTAGTAGCTTTGAGACTTAACCCCTAGCCTACCAGGGAGGCCCTGTGAGTCTATCCTTGACTATTTACTATGGTGGAATAAAATGATACCTGCAAGGAGTGGAAAATTCACTGATTAATCCCTAGTTTGACTGAAGAGTTATCTGTTCATTTTCTTATAACTTTTGGCTTACTTTATGCTCTCTTGCTTCTCCTACCCACATTCTCATGACAGCAAGTAATTATAATTTTTACCTAGCATTTTTCTCATGACTTTTTATCCTCAAACTTTATTCCAGTATGTTTAAGATGAGCAGATTTTATGTGTCTCTCTAGCTGACCATGATTCCAGTCAGATTCCAGGAAGGGGAATTTGAACAAGAGTTCAAATTGTTTAAATCCAAATTGAACCTATGATTCTCTCCAGAATATGGCTCACAAGTGCCATTTCATTTGGGTGCTGAGACTGCCTGATTACCTCAGCAAGTCCCAGTTATAAATTCATGCCACATTCTCATTAACCCAGGCCAACCTTTGCTAGAATCTCAGAATATTTTCTGCTGATAACATATATTGATGATAATGTCTAATTTCAAAACAAGGATGAACAAAGGGATGGAGTAAGGTGGGCAAATAGTAACTAAACTTACTTGAATATTAAAAGGAAATTAGTAAAAAAAGACAATGAGAGATCATAATTATTGCCAGATAAATAAAGCACAACTGAAGTATTTAGTGCAGTTTCACACTATGGGAGTAAAGAAGATGCAATAAAATGGCTGGAAAGTAAAGGGTCAGGTGTGTAAAATAGGTAGGGACAGGTGTGTTATATTTCACCATGACTTGCTACCTGAGAAGATAAAGGAATGAGGCATGGAAAAACATGAAGTTTAAATTTCTTAGACAAACTCAACAAACCTTGTGTTCAAGTTTTCCTTCCTTTTCTTTCAAAAATTACAAACTTTTCAAATATTCATTTATTTGTCTGTTTCTAGATTATAAGTTATGTTAAAGACAGGTACTATGGTTTGTTGTTTATCCTTGGATTCCCAGTGCTTATCAAATTTATATTTATTGAATGAGTGACTAAATGAATCAATAAATGAATAAAATATAGGTAGCATATGATGTTAAGATAGAAATTTCTATATTTAGTAATATAAATTTTTGTGGGAGTTCACCATAAAATGGTATGTGAGTTAAAGTTAGACTGAAAATTGACACTTTGTTTATAGGATCTTGATCTCAAGATTTAGGATTATAGCCTGAGTATTATAGAAACTAGTTTTTTTGAAAAACATTGTTTTATTAATTTTTAAAATTTTCATACATCGTTGTTCATTTTTGTACAGTATTTGATTTCTCCTCTCAAGTGTACTCCCCATAAATTTCCTACCACCATATCACCCATGAACCATCACTATAGTCCCCTATGCTCTTCCCTCCCCTGCTATATGTCTTGGATCTATATTTTGCCTGCTAGTTTTGTCTTTTTATTTGACACTTTGTTCAGTTTCCCTGTATTCCTCCTATAAATGAAACTATCTGATATTTTTCTTTTTCTTTCCCACTTATTTCACAGAGCATAATCCCTTCAAGCTCCATTCATGTTGTTGCAAATAGCATGGGTTTATCTCTTTTGATTGCTGAGTAGTATTCCATTGTGTATATATACCACTTTTTGATCCAGTCATCTGTTTGAAAAACATTGTTTTATAGAAAGGATGTGAAAGCCATTGTACTGCTTTGTGGGGCATAAAATGTCGATACTATTTTAATTTTCAGTCCATGTTATTATTTATGTGGCCTGACAAGGTTGATGGTCTCATGGCCAACAGGAGAGTCAAAGCTATGAATTTTTTTCTACTGTGGGAAGATTGGGACTAAGAGTAAATGAAGTCATTATCTTAGTGTGAGTCACTACCTTGGAGTGAGATACTATCATTATCTTAGTAAGAACTGATCCTGACATTGCCTTCAATAGATATGGCCGCCAAAAAGTCAGGTTTATTATTTTTTAATTTTATGAATAGTGACTTGTTTTTTGTAGCAATTTATAATTTAAAAAAGTGCTTTGACCAGTTATTATCAACAGAATAATTCCTCTAGATGAGTTACTATTATTTCTTGAGATTCTGAAAATTACACTAATGTTTTTATTCAAGTGAATAAAGTGACCCAGCTGATCTTTCTAATCCAAGACTTGGAATCCAGGGTTCATTCCACGCTGGTACCAAGGAAGGGCTCTTATTCATGGAGACATTTGTTGTGTGTTCTCACACCTCACTATGTCTTCTCTTGTCTGTTACTCCCTTCAGTGGCACCGACAGTGACCATCTCCCCATCCAGGACAGAGGCTCTAAACCACCATAATCTGCTGGTCTGCTCGGTGACAGATTTCTACCCTGGCCAGATCAAAGTTCGGTGGTTCCGGAATGACCAGGAGGAGACAGCCGGTGTTGTGTCCACCTCCCTTATTAGGAATGGGGACTGGACCTTCCAGATCATTGTGATGCTGGAAATGACCCCCCAGCATGGAGATGTCTACACCTGTCATGTGGAGCATCCCAGCCTCCAGAGCCCCATCACCGTGGAGTGGAGTAAGGGGAAATTTATTTCCTTTCACTGTGAGCCCCACCAGTCATAGGGCAGAGCTTCCTTGGGCCCACCCCTTCCTATTCCTTCTTCCCAGCATTACTAGTGAACTTGAAATCACAGGAGGTTCTATCCCATGGCAGGGTCATCAGAAAAATCCTGATCTCATTGTCCTTCTGGATACCAGGGTGGTCACTCCATAAACCCTGGCCGCAGGACCAAGCCCTGCCAGCTCTGAAGGACTATTATGACTGGTGACTGGAATCACAGGATCTAAAGTTATAGATGTGACTCTGAGGAGCAGGAATCCACTTTCTCTCTTTTTCAGCTACCTACTGTTTCCAAGGATCTATTGGTGGTCTTTCTGTCTCCCAGGGTCAGTCAGAATGGAGAATCAGGTCCTGTGGCCCCTCTACCTGCTGTACTTCATACTGGACTTCAGGTCCTTCATCAGGGACACTGTGTGGTGGGTAAAAAACACTGATATTCAGGCTCTGATCCCCAGGGGCACAGTCTGAATCTTCCAAAAGCAAGATGCTGAGTGGCCTTGGGGGCTTCGTGCTGGGGCTGATCTTTCTCGGGCTGGGCTTCTTCATCCGTCACCGGAGCCAGAAAGGTAAGGTGCTTTGGGGTAATGGGGAAAGTAAGCTGTGTCTCTGCCTCAACATGCAGCTTTTTACTCCTGACCCTAAAAGGATGGAGGCTTGGCTAGTGTTGGGAAGGAGATGGAACAACCTAGGAACAATATTGGAATCTGATTTTAGTGGTTGAAATTATCCCTATCACAGGGGTAACAGTTAACAGGTGGAGTGGGTTCTAGGACTTCCTTCCAGTTCACCATTGTCTCATTAATTCCTTTCTGAAAGCTTCCTTCTTTATGAGGGTCAGAGCACTGGCTCCCATTCTGTCTTCTGTAATTTTTATTCATTTGGGGGCATTTTTAACTTAAGGCTGATAAGGCCTTGTAGTTGATGGGTAGGGAGGTTGCCTATCTTATTCCCTTTGGGGTGAGTGAGAGACTGGATATTTGTGTAATGAGATCTTTCTTTGTATTACTTCCTTTTGTAGGACCCCGTGGGACTCTGCCAACAGGTAATATTTCTGCTCTGATTCATTAGGGGTGTGGAACATCAGGGGTGTGTGATTCATTAGGGGTGAGGTGAGTGTGCCTGGACACAAAAGTCTTGTTTCTTGGGTTCTTCTCTGCTATGAGATTAAGAATTAGAGAAATTTGCCTAATTTTTTAGGAAGCCCCTGAGTTTGTTCTCCAGAACCAGATTATGACTTTAGTGACATCTTTCTGTGAAGCTTAGAGGCTGGGTCATATCTCAGGTGTTAGAATTTCAAGGTTGACAATCCTAAAGCTTACAATATATGCTTGTGTTCATTTTGTGGGACATATTGGTGGCTACTGCCTGGTGTACTTACAAGTGACTGAAAGAGGCTAGAATGGTGAGTTATCATAAAATTTTCTAAAAGGATTGAATTCATTATCTCCCTCAGAATGTATGCTCCTCCACCTCCCATACCTCTAAGTGGAAGTGGAGTGCTGTGTCCTGTTTACCTGAATTCACCTCTACATAGATGTTAGGGGAGTTGATGACCACACACCTGAACCTCAGATTTCTCTGTTTGATGCTGAGGGCCTCCAAAGCAAGGGGAGAGCACGTGTCCCTTAGGGTGCCTGTGCTGACCACTCTCTCTCACACAGGGCTCCTGCACTGACGATACCTTGAGATACTTCATTCTTCTGTAATGCCTGCCATTCCGTGCCCAGGATTTCCAGTTTCCTCTTTCATCTTGTATCTCTTTGAGGTTAGAGTCCTACAGTGATGACCTTGGAGCCTCGGCCTGTGTGTTTCCTACATCTACTCAGCATCTACTTGGGCTTAAGCAGTTTTTATGTTTCCATTATTCCCACCCCCAAGTGTTCAAGAAAAGCACATTGAAATGATTTGTTTAACTAGAGCTTTTATCATAATTAAACATTTCTATGTCCTATCTCTGTCCTGAGCCTCTTTTAATGAGCAAAGGTAGGAAACTACTGCAGGATGAAAGGTACATTTTTTTTTAAAGATTTATTTATTTATACAAGAACCGGGGCCAGGCCAGATTCATGGGAGGGTGAGAGGATTCACCAGAGACAGAGTGGGGAACAGAACAGGCAGACTGATGAAGGGGAGCACTGCAGAGGGGAGCAGCGGGTGCGACAGGAGAGGTTTGTCGCGGCTGGCAGGGATTGAACTGGTATTGCAGAGGCTGCGGACAGCTTCACAGCTTCACAGCATGGCACTCAACCGCCTGCGCCACCAGGGGAGGCCCTGATAGGTATGTGTTTTGAGGTTATCAGACAACCTGGGACCAGAAGGAGAAGTGATTCCTTGAAAGGAGACTAGAAACATCTCGAGGTGCCAAGTCAGGGTGGGCAAAAGAGATAGAAAGATAGAAAATCAATTCAACATCATGTCTTTCATGGCTCTTTACTATTGATGTTTAATGTGATAATCTAAGGATTACTGCCTTCTTTTCCAGTTTGTGAGTATTGTGTAGGTAAGCATGATAGAATTTTTTGGATCACATATAGTGGCCCATGGTCACTGATGTTTTAAATATATTCTGCTAAGTCACATTGATAGAGGTCAATTTTTATTTTTGGTTTTTGGTTTAGAAGGTGTTTTTGGTTTCAAAGAGATAAATCCAATTCAAATTTACTTTGTTCATGTTATAAGGAAGCCTGGGGTCAAGTTAATTTCAGAAGTGACCAAATCTAGATACAGTAGTCACTCTTATCCGTGGGGAATACATACCAAGACCTTCAGTGGATGTCTGAGACTGTGGATAGTATTGAACCCTCTATAGGATGTGTTTTCCTATACATATCATACCTGTGATGTAGTTTAATTTATAAATTAGGTATAATAAGAGATCAACCACAATAGCTAATAATGAAATAGAACAATTATGACAATACACTGTAACAAAAATTATGTGAAAGTGGTCTTTCTCAAAAGCATTCCTTTGAGATTAGGGATTGGAGTTGAGGCCAGTACTTTTCTAGATTCTATTGATTTTCCCACTCATTGTGGGAGAAAGAAGCAAACCAGAAGCTGTGGAAAAGAATGGATAACCTATCTCCCTCAAATTAAGGAAGAGTTAAATAAAGTGTGAAATTTAAAACTTGTGCATGTTTATTGAAGAAATTTCCATTTAATATTTTTGGACTAAAAAATAATATTTTTGGATTGTGGTTGACTGTAGGTAGCTGAATCTGTGGAGGGCAAACTGCAGATAAGGGGTGACTATTGTATTTGATAAGATTTCATCTATTCTTTTCCTGTTGTCTCTGTTATATACTTTTATTTCTCTGTTTTTCTTTGTCCATGAAATATTTCTTTCAGTGTATCTTTTCTGTATCTTTGTTTCTCAATCCCTTTCACCTCTCTCTATCTCTCTCCCTTTTCATTCTCTCTCTCCACTTTTATTGCTATTTTTTCTGCCTCTCTTTTTATCTCTCTGTTTTCTGCATCTCTCTTTCTTACCACCTCAACCTTGTGTGTGCTGCTCTGAGTGTGAGTCTGTGTATGACTCTGTTACATATTTTTAAAGTGTCTACAAACATTTTAACTGCTTTAGGAAAGATTTTGATTGGCCCAGCCTGAGTGACATACACACCTCACAAAACATGTGCCCATCCTCCTTGGGAACAGGGACTATAGTTTTCAGATCTTTGTGCTGCTGGAAATGACTTCACAGCATGGAGATAAGTATACCTGCCAGATGAACTGGACTTTGCAGAAGATAGAGCTCCCGTTGTCTGCAAGGAACATGACCATTGGCTCCTGATAACATTCTCTTCCTAGTCATTAAAGGAGTCATTATACAATGTGGCTTCTTTGATATGGGTCCAACACTGAAAGTTGGTCTTCATCTCTGGGGTTTATCATTAAGACATATGTCTAGAGTTTATCATTGAGGTCTTGGGAAGATGTGCTCCTGAGGAGTAGGCATTCTCTCCTCCTTGCATCATTACCCAGACACTGGGCCTGAGTAGTCAAGGGAAGTTCCTTTTCTCTCTTAGATAAGGTCAAAATGGAGCTCCCTTCAGATTTTCATCTCCTGTACCCAGTTTGTAATGCAGTCAATGACAAGTGAACATGATGAATATGTGAACAAATACTGGCACCCAGGATTCTACTGTCCATGGTCATAGTATTATGCTGAGTGGTCACAGGTTTTGTGCTGCTCAGGATTGGCATTGTCATTCACCATAGGAGCCAAGAAAGAGTGACACTCTTAGGAAATTGGGGAGGGCTTGTGCTGGGTGTCTTTTGTTTCTATATATAATTCTTTGCTTTTGATTCTGTAAAGGCAAGAAAAAGGGCTGGAGATTTTACCAGGCTCAGAATTTAGGGAGACATTGAGTTTTTTTTCCTGTTGAAATATAAGCCCTTTTACAGTGGCAAGTATCAAGTATATTCTACGATACACTTATAGTTCAACTTTGTCATATCCACCCCGTGCTAGAACATTCCTCCTTAACAAAAGGGTCAGTAATAGTTTTATTAAAAAAATTATTTTTACATCCCAATTTTATTGGTTACAGAACCATTAATAGGTAATTTAATTAAAATAACAAGTACATACTTTATAAACAAATGCTAACAAAAAGAACTAAGTCTTTCTCTAAGACTCTTTTTTTTTTTTAAAGATTTATTTATTTATTTATACAAGCACTGGGTACAGTCAGAAGCGCGGGAGGGTGAGCGAATTCACCAGAACCAGAGCTGGGAGCAGAACAGGTAGACTGATGAAATACACTGCTGAGGGGAGCAGCTGGGCGGCAGGAGAGGTCTGCGCACCATGTGGGACCGTCGCCCAGTGGCCAGGAATCGAACCCGTGCCGCAGAGGCTGTGGGCAGCTTTGCAACCCAGCGCTCAACCACTGCGCCACCGGGGGGCCTTTCTCTTAGACACCTTCCTCGAGAACAGTGTATGGGTATACTGGAGACCAGTCTATCAATTGGGAACATTTGACATATATGCAATCATATTAGTCAGTATGTCTTTCAGTGACAGTGGCACTCACCATAGTATTCCATAAGCTTCTATACATTCCTCAGCCTTCTTTGTGGTTTGGTTAGGGTCACATGACAAGTAGCGGCTAATGGAACTTAAATGTGGGTATAAGCTCTGTCTGTGTTGTCTCTCTCTGCTACCACACATATGGAGCCTGTTGTTGAAGCAATAGTATTCAGATGTTGGATACTATAATCTGAGACCCTTAAATGATTATGGAATTGAATAATCTTTTTTGAGTTAAGTCACTGAGATTTAATTTTTACTGTAAATTAAAATCTTAATGACTATTTTGGAATGTTAAGTAAAGGAAAAGTGTGCAGGAGTTAAAGGGTGCATCAACTGAGTTAGTGAAAGTTAAGAAAAAACACATTTTTTAGAATATTTATTTGTTTGCTTCCACCTGAAAATATATTCCCAGTATCTAGAACAGTGCTTCTAAAGGGATGTGTGCTGTTACCCCTAGACTCTTCCTTTTGGGACTGAAGGATTCCTTTCCTCAATTATAGGGAGTGTTGCTAGCTAAAACCCTAAGCTGTCAATCCTCCTTGAGAATTGCCTTCATAATGCAAACTGCCTCATCCATTTCTACCCCACTTTCAAGAGAAACTTACCTCCAGTAACTGCTCATTGTGGAAGTATAAAGGTCCTGAATCCTGCACTAATTGGACCAACTCTGAAGGGATCTCACAGCTTCAGAGCTACCTGAGGATTAGGTTGAGAATTGTTGTGACTATATGGCAGTCTAGTCCTAAAATATTGCTTTAATTCATGAGTCATCTTATATAACCTATTGGTTATTATTGTAATTTACCAGAGAAACCAAGAGGGAGTGACAGTCTTGAAGAAATAGGAAGAAGACACCAGGGGAAATTTATCTATTTATCTATTTATTTATTTATTTATCTATCTATTTATTTATTTGTTTGTTTGTTTGATATTTAATTGTTTTTTTCCCCTTAAGGATAGGCAATGTTTTTTAATCCCCATTCTTGAAGATAAATCATATATGCAATCACATTAGTCATATGTAGTCATATTAGTCCTCCTGCTACTTTTTTACTTTTCCCTCTGCTTTATAATTCTACCTGCCAAATGGAGGAATCTCCTCTACATTTTTTATATTGTCAAAACTGAAAATATTGACATTATGTAATGATAATCATTTTGGTTTTTCCTCATAGTGTAATTCTAAAACTTGAAAAGGACTATCTCATTATAACTGTGAGTTAGTTGTTAAGCATTTTAGATTGTAGTCAGGAAACTATTGTAGAATCTCTTTTCAGTGACCTCTTAATTACCTGCCAATAAAACTATGTGTAGTAGGTAAATTTTATATCTCTTAATACCTAATGGTATTTTTATTCATTCTTCATGCCTCATCATGATTTTGAATAGGTATATATTTATTAACAGAAAATAACTTTCCTTTAGAACTTTCAGGTTATTCTCAAAATATTTTTTCAAAATATTTTATTTATTAGTTAATACTGTTTTACAGCACTGTAGCACTTTTGGTTGACAGTTTTTATCTTGGAATATTTTGAATACATCTTTCCAGTCTCTCCTTGTCTCTAGAGTTTTTGCTGAGAAGTGTGATGCAATCCAAATGGAACTACCTATATGGATGACCTAATCTCCCCATCACCCATTCCCCAGATGTTCTTCAATATTCTTTCTTTCTTTGAACTTTAGCTGCTTTCATTACTGTGTGAAATGTGTGTCTTGGTGTAGGTCATGTTGCATTTAGGTGACTAGATTTTTTTTTAGCTCCATGGATCAATATATTTAATTCCTTCCCCTTGTGTGAGAAGTTTTCCTCTACTGTTTCTTTGAGTATACTCTCTATTCTTCTCTTTCTTTCCCTTCTGAGGTACCCATCACTCTAATGTTGGCTTTCTTTTGTGTGTGTGGGGGGGGGGTAAAGGAATGTTTATTTTCTTTTATT